GGTTTAGGGTTTAGGGTTTTTGGCGTCTAGACAGTCGGGGCTTTTCGGGTGCAGGGTCTTGTAGATGATCAGATTCCAGCACACTTGTTTCGTGAGCTTTTTCTGGAGTCTTTGTGATCCCACAGGTCCTTGGTTTAAGACTTGTTTCGGTTTAGGGCCAGTTTAGGATTGTTTTTGGTCTTCGTCGCGGCTGAGGGGGACGGAAGGGGCGGAGGCCGTACTTGAGAGATTCCAACATTGCCTATAGAGAATTTTCTCTATGGCCAATATATGGTTTTGTAACTGTTGCTTTATGGTTGGGGAACGGGCTGTGCGGGGCCGGGGAGGATGGGGGCACAGTCAAATACACAAATCCCAATATGCCCTAGGGAAGTTGCGTGTTTGTGATCGGCAAGCCCGCAGAAAGTAACACAATCATAGTCTAAGTCATGGAAAGACTAAAAAAAAAACAAAGTACCATAAACGGAGAGAGCGAATAAATCATCAAAACCATGAGCAATCTGTGAAAATGACTTATAGCGCAAAATGGTGCAAGGCTCTTTGCCAGGGTCGGTCTTCGCAAATTTTGGGGGTCCGGGTTTCACGGTTTGCGCTCTGACAACTGGGTCCAGCCAGGCGAGGTATCTCGCAGCCCGCTTGCAGTGAGAGGCCCCTGCTGCAAACCCTCAACAAAAGACGAGACGCAATATACTGCCCCAAAGATGAAAGTTGAAAAGGTACCAAGTAGCACCGTGCAGGAGGTGTGGGGCTTTCCAGCTTCAGGGCTTCAGGGTTCACGGTTTATGACTTTACATCTCTATTAAAGCCCAGACTGGTCCAACTGCGACGAAGTCGCGCCCTGGCTGTCCATTCTCGGTGTGACTACTCGCGGCATCACCTGGATGTCAAGGATTCAGGTACCAGAGAGACAGATATCTCTTAACTAGCAAAACCCCAAACTGGATTAAGCAATACTCGTCACTGAATGTCGTGTACCCGAGAGAAACCTGGTCTTGCACTGAATTCCATGTAAGCCGATGCTGCAACTGCAAGAAGTCGAGCCTGTAGGCTCCTCTCACAATGATATGTTGCTCTTGTTTTTCGGAGGTTGTACGCAGGAGCTCAACCCCCAGACACCCCGGAAATCCCCAAGCTTCCTCGCTCTTGCTTCCTCCTGCCTTGTCACAACTTCCAGCCCAGCCAACCCTGGAGCTCAACCCATGCAAACCCTGCAGCCCAAATCGGTAAACCCTGCAGCCCGAACTCCCTTTTGCAGGGGAGCTTCCTCCGCCCATTTTGCATCAGAACTTGTGCAATCGCCTGAAGGTCTGAACATACGGAGGTAGTGCCGCTGAAATCCCCAGACCCTGCAACTCCTGCATCTCTCAACCCTCGATCCGGAACGAAGAGAGAAAAGAACTGCTGAGTCGAACACCGGCGCCACCGCCCTCGTCGTCCTTCCCATCCCCATCCTGGAAGAACCGAGGTCTTCACATAGGGGTTGTGTCGAACAGCCGTCAAAAGCGTCTGGTACAAGCGCTTAGACCGCTAAACTGTAGGAGCAAGCAGTCGTCATCATGGCCACCGTCGAAGTAACTGGTGAAGGTCACGACGCACGAAATAGCCTCATGACATAATTCTTGTGCTTCTCTTGTCCAATGCTGTTCTTCTTATACTTTTCTGTTGCGAATCCGCTTGTTGTTCATGGGAACAGCCGGTCCTGCATGCCGTCTTGGCTTTGTAGGCCATCCCGGAGAGGACGGCGTTCGCCCTGAGAACATTGTCCCATGTCACAGAGGCCCGGACCTCTGAACCACCCAGCACCAAACCCTGAAGCCGCTTCCTGGAACCTCTCTGGACCTGAGAACGCCCGGTAGGTAGCTACTCTTCCCCCGGCTAGCACTGGGCTCGTCACAGTGCCCCCAGCTTCTGAGCATGCAAAAACCCCAACACTCCTCCCCAAGCCTATGCACATCGTCCGCTCTCAAGCCAAACCTTACCGCAGAGATGGAAACACCAAACCAGCGAAGGCCCTCGCCAGGTTAGAACTGAGAGCTTGGCTCTACTACTCCTTCGCTTCGTAGTTTCTGCCCTTGTTGCTTGAAGTCCGAAGGCTGGGCTGAAGGAAGCTCGCCTCCTCCCCATCGCCATCAAGCGACCTGTCATGGTTCGGGCGGCGCGCAACATGCCATGCCCGGGAAGGCTTTTCTTGCATGCTGAATACCTGCGCAGACTACAATTGAACACCCGGAAACCTGGTCACTAGTCCCTCTCCCATGATATGGACTCAACAGCTACGCTCCAAACTGCAAGCTGAAGCTCCAAACTCCAAACCTCACAGTCCTTCCCCCAAAATCGTTCGCAGGCTCCCTGTTTTCAATCCATCCCCAAACCCCTTGCAGTAAAACGACCTCACGCCTAACCTCCAAACCCTACATCGCGAAACCCCTCTGATCCTAAGCCCTAAGGACCCTTTTTTGAGCAGGGACTGCAATGCACTAAGCCTTAGGGCCCTAAACCCACAATCCAAGAAGCCTGCTTTTCACCTGTAAGCTGCAAAAACCGAATCCGGTCGACGAATTTTGGGGCCGATCTCCCAGGTCGTTCTTCAACCCGGGATCTCCATAAAGTGGAGAGGCACCCTTGGAACCTAAGAGCTAATTAAGGCGTATGTTGGAATTCGGGTTCGCGGTCTAGGGCTGAGGGTTGAGGGGTTTAGGGAAAAAAGCTAGACTTCGGAGATAATTAGAAGAGGGCGTGTAGCGGTGCCTAGCACACCTCACGCCGTCCACCCAGGCGGACGTGCCACCGTGCCCACCGCCAGCTCATCGCCGAAGGCCACGGCAAAGCCACCAGGATGGATCCCTAAGACTTTAATATCCCATTCAGATCTCCGACCGGTACAGGACTCCACAACTGTGCAGAGATATTCTGCCCGGCCGGCTTCTGGGCTGTATCGATGTAGCGTCAGGGGCGAGGGCCTGGTATTCAGGTCAGAGCAGATTGCATAGATGCTCCCATCCAAGAACCGGAAGTCGTCCACAGGGCCGGGCAGATGGATAGCTGGAACCATGGCCGCTGCGTATCTGAAGTCCACCATGCTGATGAGACCTTGGGGACCTCAGGGTGCCTCCGAAAGTTAATGTAGAGGCCTTCATAATTACAAAACAAATTGAAGGTTCCTAAAAGTTAATGTAGAGGCCTTCATAATTACAAAAAAAATTGAGGGTTCCTTAATATTATTATGGTCTAATGAAAATTGAGGGTTCCTTCATATTATTATGGTCTAATGGACCCCAAAAACCCTATTGATGCCTCGTCATTTTGGCCCCTGCTAGCCGCAAGGTCCAACAACCCTCACCACCAGGAGCCCACACCCTGTACAGGGCCCGATACCCAGAAGCCCTGATTGAAATCTCCGCAAAGTTGTCAGAAATCCCACCTGCCTGCGAGACTCGAGGACTCTGGAACCAGACCGCAAAACACCTGAGGGAAGCGTCCAGCCCGCAAAGGCCACAGAACCATGCCGCCTCTCAGGGCTTCGGAGTGTTCAATGGGCCTCTTCTCCCTGTGAAGCTTTTACGGTGGTTTTGGATGCAGAGCTGGGCTTGGAGTGCAAGATCTATGGGGGTTTTCGAAAATCGGGGACCCTGATATAGTACCCTAAATAGTCGGGTCCTTATTATAAGCACCCCAAAATAAGTTACCCTAATTTTCGGAATTTCCCATATGGTTTCGGGGTTCGACTCACAGCTTGGACAATCCAGGCGAGGCGTGTGAGTTCGTCGGGTGAACAGCCGAGCCGCTACATTGAGCAGCGTCGAGCGACAAGGTTGAGGGTTTGTGTTTTGCCTCGTGGCTTCAGGCTTTACACTCTCGCAGGTTTCAAGGGCTGGGAGGTCGAGGGATTGGGATGGGCTTAGGGCCTAAGGGACCTTCGGAATCCGGAGGGTTTAGGATTACAGTGCTTAGGGCTGAACGGTTGTGAAGATCTCGAGGGTGTAAGGTCTCAGGCGCCAAAACGCTCAGAAATACATGGAGATGAGTTGCTGAAGAATATTCCAGACCATAGTGATCATCAGCCTAAGACCTATCATCTCAGTGCTAAGCTCATGCTCATCACCGCGCTCGCCATCAGCAGGAGCAGCAGCAGCAGCAGCAGCAGCAGCAGCAGCAGCAGCAGCAGCAGCAGCAGCAGCAACAGCTTCGCCGCATCGTCATATCCATAGTTGTAATTCCTAGTTGCAAAGAAAGACATATCAGCAAGAAGAAGCCACTGCACATAACAAGACTGGTGACTAGCTAATGCAAGAACATGTCTCGCATCAGTCACTCAAATCACGTAAACATACCCACCGTGCTTGCACCCGGGCCCCTTGGTCCAAGAAAATCATGAGAAAATCCCTCAGCCGGGCCCTCATCGGTCACGGGAACATCCAGCACACAGGCATCGCTGCGCCGGAAGTCGAAGAGCATGGCGGAAAAGCTGGTTGACAGGGGATGCTCTCCAACCATGGGGACCTGAAGGCTTTCTCGGCTTCAGCAAGTCACAACTACGAACAACGCCGGATCAAGAGGCTCACCGTTTCAAGGGGGTTGGTTCAGGGTATCGACGACTCCATGCTGACCTGGTGTAAGGAGCAGCCACCATCGAAGCCGTCCACAGCATGTAGGAACTTCCCTCTGGAAGCCCGGCTTCCGCCCTCGACAACGGATTGCCCCGCGTACTCTAGGTCGATGATGTCCAAGCCCGAGGGTACGCGATTCCGCCGTGTCTTCAGGGCGAGGACCTTGCCATCCGTGGTGATGCGAAGATCATTCACCTCATATGGGCTCCAGGACCCCGACAACAAAGCAATAAACATGAAAATCCATACAAAGAACAATCCAGTACAACGCGACAGCAATAACATCGACAAGACAAAAAATAGCAAATCGAAATGATAGGAACAGGAAGAAGAAGACCGCACCTTCTCGTGGCAGGCGAACTGCTGCACCAAAGAATACTCGTCCTCCTCCGTGCGGAGCCTTGCGACAGGGTCTTAGGGTTTTGAGTGGCTTATGAAGATTTATGAGAAATCCATAGCCCTTGTGCAAGGATGTTCTGCCAAATGTTCTGCGGGTTTAGCAGGGCTGGGGCTTCTCAAGGACTCCTTATGATGCCTAAAGCATATAGTACATTTGTAACTTTGAAAGGAGCTGCCAGGATCCTAATAACCATCGGGTACTCAAAGACGGGTGGTGTAACAGAAGCCGTTTTTCCAGTTGCTTCTGTCCTCACCACGTTGTGACAATCGCTCCGGCCTCGTTGGTGAAACCTCTGACGGCTCGAACCCTTGACCACAAAAGCTTTCTGGATTTCTGGGTTGAACGGTCTCCCCACTGTATGAAGTCCGATACATACTCACTAAAATCCTTGGTAGCCCTGAGGTGGTTTCAGTGTTATTCGCCCGGCAAACCCTACTGCTTCTGCTTCTGCTTCTGCTCGGACTGTCGATCCGCTGGCCCCGTTTTGGGGCACGACGCGGTGCGTCCCAAAAATGCATCAAATTCTAGCAAGGTGAGACGTCGGGCGTTGGCTCCAGAACCTGTGCGCGGTTGGGCGCTGGCCTTCGGTACTTCTCGAGGCCAAATGGTCCGTGATCCACACTACGTGTGCCGGGGACGGGGTGAAGCCCTTGGAAAGGCAAGAGAGCGGGTCGTCCTCGGTCGTGGTGACAACAGACCTTTCCGCGGCAGTGGGCTGGAGAGGGCCGAACGCCTGTGGTGCACGGGAGGCACGCGGCACACCGACAAAGGACTTCCAGTTGCCACGGGCAACTTTCCCCTCGCGAGTGCACCTGGGAGCCTCAAGGCAGCGAATCTGCTCGTAAGAGAGCGGCGCATGTAAATGCAAACATCTCAGCAGACAAGCAGAGGAATACTTGAGATGCTGCTGCACCTGCCGCACATCTGGAAAGACTTTGAGGCAAGCAGTGCACACGTTGCTGGTTGCAAAGTGACGCGCGGGGGCATAGACCTGGTGGCTGCGCGCGAGATGTACGTGTAAGTGCTTTCGCAGCGGGAAGGCTGCCGCACACAGATAACACGCAAAGCGCTGGGGAGCGAGCACCCCGGTTTCCACGGTAGTGTGAGTGGCCCCGAGCCGACGCTCATTATACCAGATGCTCAAGTCCTCGAAGAAAGCTTTCTCAGCAGCTCGGACCTGGCGTCCCCACCAAAAGGGGTCACAGTCGTATGCTTCCAAGAGGGACCGTACTGGGTCAGTGGAGGGCAGGAGGTCCTGCACTGTGGGCACATACTGTGCGACGTGCGTAACGTCGTCCCGCAGCTGTGCAAGCCAGGAAGTGGCTGGGTGTAGACACCAGTGATCCCACAGAAGTGTAAGGAGTTCCCTGGGGCCATTCAGAAAAACCCGCTTGATAAATCCAGCACGGGCTTTGGCGAGGGCAAGGGGAGGAGATAAGGCGTGGGCCTCATGCAGGACACGAAAACTGTGAACCTGTGGGCCTGCCACTCGCCTGTGGAAAAGAGCCCTCCACAGGGCAACATAATGCTGCTCCCACACTCGAACATGGCAGGCAGCCTGGAGAAGAAGGGCCGCAATAGAATGCGCAAACTTCGAAATTACAAGTGAGCGCAGAAGGAAAGATCGAGTGGTGATAGGGATCTCCCTAGCTCCGAAGAGCTTGCGGCGAAGCGGCTTCAAAGTGCCTGTAGCCTGTGAGTACCGAAAGTGCAAGTCGGGCAGCGGGTTGCCCGTGGAAACCACAATGCCGCCGAGGTGTCGGTATGATTCCACAGCCGGAACCGTATACGCAACCTGAGTGATGTGATTGTGAAGGCACAACTGAAGGGTGCCATCGTCATCGCGACGCAAGCAAGGGTCTTGGATGTGGATGACGTCTGGGGGGAAAAGAACTGCAGTCTTGTCCCGGCCGAATTTAACAGTCATCCCTGCAGAAGTGGCAAAGTCAACCACTGTGGTGAGGACCTCGCAAGTGCGGCGAAGCAAATCGCTCGGCCCGGAACCGGTCTGTGGGGCAACGAAGTCATCGGCCCATGAGGGAAAACCAAGGGAGACCGGCCCATCCTGATCAAGAAAGGCTGGGCGCTCCGAAGCACAAGGCACGTCAGGAAGGAGGGCTCGAGACTCCAGGCAGGTGTGCACTGACCGTGACAGGGCTGACAGTGTAAACCCAAAGAGCAGGTCGGCTGTGGGATCACCGGGGCGAGCCCCCCGACGTGTAAGGACCAGTTCTGGAAAGCCGGATAAACGGAACCATGTGCCGCGAAAAAGGTCCTGGACCAGGGAGACTGCATGTGAAGATGCGCCGAGCTGTGGCAATTGTGCCGCTCGAGTCAGCTGGTCCTTGAGCTCGCAGATGGCCTCCGGGGGAATTTGCAACGAGTGAAGCAAACGAAGAAGGTCCTCGTCTCCATTGGTGGAGGGAACAATGGTTTGGCGAAGCACTTGATAGAAAGCTGCTTGGAGATCAAAGAATGCGAGCGCAGCTTTGGTGCCTCCTCTTTGACCAAGAGAGAAAAAGGTGCGCACCGCAAGGGCGACACCCTCAATGCCCTGTCCTGGGGCGACGCCCGCTTGAAAAGAGGGCTGTGAACCGAGTAGCAGCGGCTTGAGGGAGTCCCGGAGGCAACGGTGCAGCAATTTGCCCGGGACTGATGACACGAGAATTGACCTGTATGCATCACACGACAGAATGTGGCCTGCCTTTTTTGCCAGACAGCACAAATCCCCTCCTCGGAAGGCGATGGGCTCACGCACACGCAGGCTTGCCTTGAGAAACACGGGAATAAGCTGTCGCCCAGTAATGGGCGCATCCAGGCGCAACAACTCAGCTGTGATTCCATCCGCCCCCGCAGCCTTAGCATTGCGAGCTGCGAGGATATGGCTTTCGACAGCAGCAAGTGTGGGGAGCATGCGTACGTCGAGGGCTCTAGTGTCGGGCCGATCCTCCATAAAGGCAACCGAGTACTCGCTGTCATTGACTTGGACGCCCGCCTCTTGAGAGGCAAAGTGGGCGCGCCAGGCCTGTGCTCGCTCTGAGGTAGTGCGGGCCATGGTGCCATCGGCGAGCTGCAGCATGGGCAAGGGCGCGATCTGCTGACGCCTTGCGGGTCTGGAAGAGGGGAAGGCCTTGCGTAATGCTTTGTACAAGGCCTTGGCATCTCCGATATTACCTCTGGCAACTTCTGAGGCAAGAGTGTCAAGATAGGCCGATCGGTCAAAGGCAACAGAGCGGCGGAGGGATCGGGTGGATCGCCGGTAATTTGCCAGCGCAATGGCGTCGGCTTCGTCCGCTTCACGAAGCCAACGATCGGCAACGAAGATCCTATCCTCATCAAACGGCTCTTGCCTCGCATGAAGTACAAAGGCCGCAAAGGCAATCATGAGCCGACGTCTGACAATTTCCCGAGCACAACCTTTGAGCAGAGCCCGCAATGCGTGCCTTTCCTCGACAATATCCAAAGTGGCCGTGGACAGGTAAGGCTGTCGTGGGGCCACCTCTGTCTCTGTGGTTAGTTCCTTGCCGACCTCAGCCCACGCTGAGGCTAGGGAATCGTAGTGCCGGTCCACATCGACATCCCAGGGAGTAACCGGCACAAGTCTTGTGAGGGAACTACTGGCCTGAACACCGGCAACAGAAGGGTCCGGCCTGACAACAGTCTTGCCTATAGCCTTATATGCCAGGGCCGGCAACTTGCGAGAGAAAGTGCAGACCAATTGCACGGGCACATGGTCGTCACGAGCCTGCATGAGCTCGACGTCAGGCAGGGTGCTCGACTTCAGGTCAGCGACCTCCCAATGCCTTGGGATCAAGATGTAGTCAATGCGCGAACTGGTACCAAAAGGTGAGAACCACGTGGGGTGGGGGCCTGAGTGCCACTGAGCATAGGTCGAGGGGGCGATGGCATCAATCTTTGCGATGTATTCGTGGAACAGTGCACCAGCAACACCCTCAATCTCGGCACCAAAATCTCCGACATGTTCGGAGTGGACATCCCCGAGGCGAGCGTTAGCATCGCCTAGAACGATAAAGTCGGTACCCGGGGGGCGGCTCATAATTTCGCGAGCTCTGATATCCCAGAATGCCTGAACCTCCGCGACAGGGTAAGAGGTGGTGGAGGGCGCATGAAGGACCTGTACCTGCAGACGCATGCGTGGCGTCTGAATATGAGCAGTCAGATGACGCGAAGAGGTGCTGACAACAGTCACGTCCTGGGCACGGATATGAACCGATTCTGCCGGGGTACAATAGAGGGGGATAGCTTTGGCAATCCATAGGGCGCAGCCGCCCATGCCTCTATCAGTAGAGGACGAATTAAAGATGTGGTAATCCGCATCGGCTTGACGTTCGGAGTGAGGGAGCCTTGTTTCTTGAAGGCCCAAAAAGAGCGGAGAGGCGCTGGCCAAGGTCGCCTTAAGAATGTCCTTTCTACCAACAAGTCGCATGCCTACGCTGGCCGCGGGGAGCTTGATCTCCTTGTCCCTTAGGGTGAGCACATTGAGGCTGATGCAACCGAAGGAGAAGAGTGCGTCTTCAGAAGCACGCTGGATCTCCCGAACTCCATGAGCTGGCGCAGAGGCTGGCACAGGATCGTGCCGTTGGGCGAGAGCAACCTCCGACTCAAAACAGAACAGGCGCGGAACATCGGGTTGTCCAGGAACTGTGGACCAAGCCCACTCAGCTAGTGGGTGGGCAGCCCAATGAGCGGGCCATTCCGGCAGGCAACGATCAAAGGGCGAGGCAAGCTCTTGGCGTGCCAGCTTGGCTAAGGTGTCACAAAGCTCATTTCCTAGGTTGCCACTGTGTCCAGCAACATGTGAATGGGCAATGGGGCGCCTGGCATTCAAGTAGTGCCGCAAGGCAGTGGCAAATCGCGCGAGCGGGGCGTAGTGCGCTGGGCTGGTACCTCGAACAGGCTTAGAGGCCCCAAAGACACCTCCTCCAGCGCTGCAAGCATCATACCGAAAATGGACTGGGACGTTCAGGTGCAGCATGTGC